TTTTATCTATATTGTGCATACATGAACATGTCAACTATTTTCACACACAAAACAGTGTATGATAATTATGGTTTTTAATTTATACCTTCAAATTGTTCTTCTAAGTTTTTTATTTCCCTCTTGAGAAATGATTACATGTAGATTTTTAGCATTTGGTTTCACTTTTTGAAAAATGTCATTGCAGTTTAGAAACTTGGTAAGGAGGAAAACGTAATGATAAGTTTATGGCATTTGAAAAATGATATCTTATCATACTTAACTTATTATTATATGATTTAATATTTTATTTTATTCGTAAAATTTACGCCAATTAATTAGGGCGTCAACCCTTAATTATGTGGTTGTTGACTTCGAAATCGCCTTTGAAAATGTTGTAGAATAAACAAATTAATTAAATAATTTTTTAAAGAAGTTTTAGCTGCTTATTGTAAACTGAAATTAAACTAAGTGAAGTGATACTTAAGAAATTATGATATAGTTAATTTAATGACCTGTAATTTTAATAATATTTTTTAGTTTAGTACGTGAATATATATAATTCTACTATGTCACGTATTATTATTTTTTTATGAAAAAATGTTCACTCCAAATTTTAGTAAGTAAATAAATAAATTTAAGAAAAATATAAAATTGAATTTTATATTTTTTTTTGGATTTTTTTAAATTATGATCTTAATGTAATTGTTTAATAACGTGGTAACAAAAGTAAAAACAAAAACAATAGAGTAAAAAGAGAATTGTAAAAGAAAAATAAGGATTAAGCAAGCAATTAGACTTGAAACAAACTTATTACAAAAATAAATTGTAAAATTACAAACGTAAATGTACAACTTCCATAGACAATCAACATTGGAACCATTGATCTCTTGTTGATTGAGTTTAACTAGTGCATAGAATTTTGATACTTCAAAAATTTTAGTGAGTGTGAGTAGTTGTGTGAAAGTTGTAATCCTAAACTGAGATGAAATGCTATTTATAATCACTACATAATCTAATTTCCTAAAAACTATAAATTTAAATTACAATTGCTTAAAACACATTTTTTTAAACTGTTTTTGCATGTCATTCATGATCTTTGTAACGTGTTTTGATCTTTGGTTGATAATAACCATTGTCACTTCAAATACATTTGAATTTTTTGATATAAATCTGACATCTTCTGAATTACCTTTATTTTATTTTTTTTGTACTTGAAATACTTCAATTTTCTTTGAAGTAAATTATTAACCTTCGATAAATTTTTAGAAAAATATGTCAAAACACCTTTTTTCAATCAATTTTGTCACTTTTGAGTCTTGTATTATAAAACTTGTCAAATATTCTCGAAATTTACCTTTTCAGCTGAAAGTCATGTTTCTTTGACCATTCTTATAAAAATTTGTTGAAAAATTATCTTTTCAACTGAAAATTAGTTTTTTTTTTTTTTCTTTCTTATTTCATACAAACTCGTTGAAAAGTAGAACCTTATGGTCATATCATACCAAGTTTTTAATCAAAATGCATACTTAGGCAACACAAAAGGCATAACTTTATGAAAAGAAATAATGAACCTTACCTCATGTTTTTTCAGTAAGACAACTCAAATACACCTCAGTCACATACCTTTTTTTCAGGCAAACAATATTATAACTTGAGATATTTTTTCATTTCTCCCCAACAAGAAGTAAAATATGTTGAGATAAACATCTCTTTAAAATAATTGTGATACACAAATAATAGGTCCCATCTTATTATGTATTTCCTAATTAGTAATTGCTTTATTTTATTATTATTTTTATCATATAATATTAAAAAAATATATATATCTTCTATTATTAGTATCATAATTTAACCTTAAAATAGATAAAAGTCATCAAAATATTGATAATTGTAAATGTTAATTATGTATTATGAAAATATAATAAGCAATTTTGTATATCCAAAGGTTAGTGGGTAAATTTAAACAATAATGTAAATTTAATAAATTATGTTAATCAGTTTACAAAGGTTTTGTTTTAAAATTTATTTCAGCTCTAAATATATGTTGGGCAGATATTCGAACCAATCAACAACTATAAATAAAATTTGAACTTGTTATGGTATTAAAGAATTCGACTGAATTATCTAAATTAAGCTATAATTATGTTGAAGGTTGAACTCATTAAAGTAGTTGCCACTCAATTCTTTAATAAATATTAATCAACCCCTTTTCTTTAATAGATCTTAATCCCATAGAAATCTCTAACCTCGATAAGCATTATGTTTGTGAATTCTTCAAGTCTCACAATTATCAACCTTTATTTATAGTTTGCCATCAATTATGTCACTCTGCCTCAATTCCATCCTCCAATTCAAATTTTCAACCGTAAGAAGAGATCTACAAGTATCTTATAAGTGATAAGCTCGTAAAAGCATTAAGAGCAATGACAAGCAATGCTAACAAAGAAAAGAAAGTTGAATTGAGACTAAAAGCAATAATTACAATGAGTTCAAATCGAAATTCCTCATGCCCTAGTCACCAAATTTAATACCTCAGTGTAAAATTTATAAAATACAGTAAAAAATAATAATAATTAGGATTAAAGCCATGAGGAAGAATTGGTGTTTCAAAGTGTTTGTTTTCACAAACCTTAAATCTTAGATGAGAGGAAATTTCAAGAATAATTTGTAAAGAAATTGATAAAATGACAAAACAATTATTTCTTCTGTTAAAAAAATGATTTTATAGGTTTTAAAACTTCTAAGTATTTGTAACACCAACTTCTGAGCGTACAAATGCACAAGTACTAAAGAAAATAATTTAATGTTCTAGAGGTAGTATTCATACACTAAGTTATGAGTGTTTGAACATGCACATAATAGGGAAAAGGAATTTGCAAATGTTTAGACTTTAGAACTTTGAACATTTGAATACATGCTATTCTGAAATAAATTTCAGCCAGGTTAATGTTCAAATGCTAAGAGGTAAATGTTTTAATGTGTGGTGTATATAGAGCTCTTCTTTTTACCTTAAGGTCAACATTCTAACAATTAATTTTCATAGTTTGAAAACTTCTCAATCTATAGTTTTCTCTTACTTTTTACTTTTTACTATTAATACAATGCATCTTCCAGAAATTATAAGTAATGACTACTAATATTTACACGTAATAACATACTTTTACGAGTAATCCCCTTAAAAGGAAGTCTAAATCTACTACAACTTAGAATTTTTCAAAACTCAAAACATGAACTTTTACTTGTTCTCGTGCAAAATCAATTGACTCAAAGAATATCAAATGATACAAGTAAAAAAATCAAAATGTGGAGATATTGTTGACATGTTTTCTATTTTATAACCTTGATATATTATTTTTGAATATTTGCTTCTTTTACAATAAAATATGGATGATGTTTATGGCTATTTGGATATATGTTGTGAAACATGATATATGTTAAATTTGGTGATGATTAATTTTTAAGGATGCTTTTAGTATAATCATATTTTCAGCTTGACAGGTTAATGTTTGTTGAAACCTGTGCTTCATTCATGTCCTTAAACTGGGTCATGATAAACATCAATTATGAATTTTAGCATGATATTTTGAATTCTCATCCACACAAATGTCAAATATGTCACATTTTTTCTTAGACTAACAAACCCAACAATCCAACAATCCAGATTACTCATTCCACTTGATGATTGATTGAAGAAGAGAGAAATGGCACACACCTTGTTGATTATCAACTTCCTACTTAATGGTGACTAGTGAAGGATAGAGAATATCATAAGAGGAGTGGGAATCCCATAGATCTGTAGAAAAAAAATAGAAAAAAATAAATAAAGGACAAATTCAAATGGCTTATTATATATATTCTTTCTTTCTTCTATTCTTTGATCAAAATTAGTTTTATATTAATATTAACAAAATTAGTTTTTCAAATTTTTACTCTTTAAGACTCACTTCAAATGAGTCTTTAGCTAGATGATAAATAGTAATTTATAAGGACTTTTAATATCAATTTTTAATATATAAATTAGAGATTTAAAATTTGAAAAATAATATTATAAATACTCTTACACTACACTTTTTCTTCTTAAAATATACTATAAGATATAACGAAAGCTAAAATTTCACATGCAGTTAGGTGATGCTGAAATTAATTGTCAAATAAGCACACACAAATATATTTTTGTTTTAGGCTGGATGAGCTGTTTACAGAGACAATTTTGTCTCCTAACTCTCCGAAGTCCAAATGTAGTTATTAATGTCGAAGCAACCCTCTCGGAATAAGGTAGTTAAATCATTCAAATCCATAACTAAAAGATAATAATCCATTGTTCCACGCTCTTTAGCCAACAACGCCATTGGATTGGGACCTACTAAGTTATCAGTTTTCCACCATATAATCATCATTGTAATCATGTAACAAAGCAATTAAGCTACTCCACTTAATTCCGTGAGTCTTCCTGAAATAAATATCGCAGAGAATAAGAATTAGAAACTTCAATTTGAAGCAAAATGATTCACTCGTAGCTGTAACACCGGTTTCCATCACACAGCAGTGATAATTGAAGATCATTTCTTTATTATTCCTTAAAGAAAAGTAAAAAATTGAAAAAAAAAAAGAGGTCAAAATTAATATAGAATTGAAGATTCAACTTGCAGGAGGTGGTACCCTCTCAATTTGAAAATTCAGCTGCAAACTTAGCTATAGTTCCTTTGTCAACATCAAGAGACCATATCAGAGAGACGTTTGGGTAATTAAGGTAGCACACTCACATTCACGCTTTCCTTTGATAGCAACCTGCGAGCAACAATGAGTTGAAGTGAAGATAAGATATGTCTTGGAGTCAGAGAGTTCACTTTCCCTCCTTCAACACTCACCGTTAATCGCTAAACCAAAGCTCGTTTTTGTTCACCGTTTTTCCACCTCACTGTACCTTTGCTTCTACTCTCTCATTTTCTGGAGTTAGGTTCCTTGCTGTCATGTGAAGCCTCTGGTTCCTTCTCTGTACTATATTGGACGGAACTTGTCTGGATTGTCATTTAGTACCCGTTTCTGAAAGAAAGAAAGAAAAAGAATGAAAGAAAACGCTTCAATGGAAACTGGGTCGAGCTCAGAATTCATAGATAGGGGTAAGAGGCATGATCCTAGTGCTGCCAAAGTTGAGCCATTTGTGCCAAGAAGTGAGCACAATCCTAAAGAGTTGAGATCGTGGGCAAAGAGAACTGGGTTTGTGTCTGATTACTCTGGGGAAGCTGGGACTAGTGCTAGTGAGAAGTTTGATAGTGTTGAGTTTCATGCAGAGAAGAGTGTTATTGATGATCAGAGAGAAGGAGGATCCTCACCCACGATAGAGATTGATCCGGTCCTGGGCCTGGCCAGGCCCAACAGGGACAATGAGATTGAACCAGTTTTTTTGTCCAAGAATGGAGCCATAAGGAGTGAGAATGAAAGAGTTTTGAGGTCAAAGGATGTGTGGAATGGAGCAGTGGGGAATCAAAACCACAAGAGTAGAAATGAGGATGAGCCTGCTTTGGCTTTGGCCGGTAATGGTGACAAGAAAGTTGGGTTAAGAGGGAATGGCGATGTTAATGGAGTAGCAGTGAATATGACTCGGGATAGTAATAGCCATGGAGTTTCTTCAGTTGCTCCTCTGCCAGAGCAGAAGGAGGAGGAAGACACAGGTGAAGGAGTTGTTAAGGTGAATCTGTATCCAGATGAGGAGGAACCTGCTGATAGAGGGTGGCAAGGACCCTCTGGATTGAAGTACGGGCTCACTGAAAATCCGGGTCTTGGTTAGTTTAAATTCAATTTTTTGTTTCTCAGAAATTTTTACAATGTTATAATTGTGGATGGTTCTGCTTGGTGTATCTTTAACATGTGTGGAAAAATTAATATCTTAACTTTAATCCCTTATTATCCCTGGACCATATGGCAATATAGTCTATTATAATCCGTTTTATTAATCGCATCACATGTTGTTTGAATTGCATATTATTACTTTTCCCGCAAAAATAGCTTTTTGGTATGTAGTAATGTAGTCAGATAGCTTCTGTTCGTTAGGTGTTAACAAATCAAAAGGCCAAAACTATTTTCAATTATAACCGGGAGATTGGTCCTCATGTTTAAGTCCACACATGAGGAGTATGCCTAAATCCAATAATCATTTTATTTGAATTTAGTAATATGTTTCACTTTATTTTGATAATTAGTCTGAAGATGATCTATACCAGCTGCTATTTGGATTTGAGCATGGTTGCCATTGAACTGGTTTGAATGCTGCTCAACGTAGCAGTCAAAGTCAAGGAGGGTGGTAATTAGAGAAGAAGATAGAGAGAACACACCTCTGGCCATTTATCAAATTGTATTTAATGAAGGACTGTGTGAATCCCTCTTCCCATTTTTATTAACAAATTACTGTCACTATTACTATTATAATGTCTCATAAGTAGCAAGGTTAATTAGCTAAATCCTGCTTCTGTGACTTGCTAAAAGCTGTTATTACTTCTTTTTGACTTATCTATCTTTGACTGCAGTACCTCTTATCTATTACGGCCTGCAGCACTACCTATCATTGATTGGCTCGCTAGTATTAATACCATTAATCATGGTACCAGCCATGGGAGGAACAGATGTAAGATAAGCCTTTACGTAACGGCCATAAGAAAATTTCATAGCCTTACATATTCATTATGTATTCACTTTCACATTGGATGACAGAACGATACTGCTAATGTAATTTCTACAATGCTGTTTCTTTCTGGCATCACAACAATACTGCATTCCTACTTCGGTACCCGACTACCTTTAGTTCAAGGGAGCTCATTTGTGTATTTGGCACCGGCTTTAGTTATCATAAATTCTGAAGAATTTCGAAATCTTACACAACATGTAAGTTCACTGACAGACAGAAAATGTTAATTCATTGTCCTTAAGCACCTTCAGCCTTGTACAATTACATAAAGTAATTTAAATAATCACATTATTTTCTTTTCTTTTCAATTCTTATTGATTTGATGCATCTATAAGATTTCTGTTTTGTGTCAACCCAGTGAAGGGCATTGTTGTTCTCACAAGTCACATTTAATTTTGATTTTTCTTCTTTGGCTTGGTTACTATTCCTAGTTTCCATATTAATGATTGCTTATAACTGCAGAAATTTAAGCACATAATGAGGGAAATCCAAGGGGCTATAATTGTTGGTTCAATATTCCAATGTATACTGGGATTTAGTGGTTTAATATCTCTTCTTCTCAGGTAACAAGAAGATGCATTTTGTCATTCCTGCATTCACCACAGCTTGATAAATTTCTGGTGGGAAAGAAATGTCTTTCATATTTTCATTTTCAATTACAAGAATTTTGCTAATTTGCTACCTTGTTAAATAAGTAATATAAATGCGCATGTCATCATTGACTCATTAGATAAACAAATGCCTAATCTCCTGTTTTCAGTATTTCTTGTTGAATCATATGAATATAAACTTCAAAGCGTTTCTTTTGATCTTTTGTATCATGGAATATATACGATTGCTGTACAGTTTAGACTAAAATATACATATCTTTAGCTTCTGCTGCATGCTTTTCACCTGGCTAGGATAGTGACATGACTAAAGCACTATGCTTTTCTTCATAAAAAATCTAGTTACATAATACACCCATGAAATGCATATGCAACATTCAAGCTTCATTTTAGGTTAGTTAGTCGGGCCTCAGTCAACCATTAAAATCGCCAACAAATCATATTTTGTGCAACATGATTGGCAAGGCACCAGTAATTCAACTTTATGTAATTTAATTCATTGTCTCTCGCTTGGCTCTTTGAAAACGCAACATTGTTTACGTCAAGAAAAGAATAAATTTGAAAGGGAATAAGCCCGTGCAATTTTAAGGGGCAATTAGGAAAACCTTTAGAGAGTTTATTTGAGCTTATAAAATTGATTAGAGTTTTCTATAAGCTCAATCTAACTGACTTCAACAAGTTTCACAGAAAAACTTATTAAAATAATTTTTTTTAAGGCTTATTTCAGTATCACAGTCAAGCTTGTAAAAAGCTCTTATTGAATAGGTGTTTAATTAAGCTATTTAATCAAAATGTACTCCTAATGCTCCTAATTTTATGTGATTTTATATTGGTGAATGAAGTGAACATAAAAGCTACTGACATTTTATCTGAAGAAAGCTTCCAAGACTAGAATCTAATATGTTGCAATTCTACAACAATTTGTTATAGGATAATCAACCCAATTGTGGTGGCTCCAACTGTTGCTGCTATAGGTTTAGCATTCTTCAGCTATGGCTTTCCACAAGCTGGCACTTGCATGGAAATTAGTATTCCACAGATAGCATTAGTTCTAATATTCACACTGGTGAGTCCCATCCCAAACATTTCAAGTAGCATTGATATTGGATAATCCGGTATTTGAATAAACTTTGTTAAGGCTGTAAAGTTGCTTCTTGTCTTATCAAAAAGATGGTGTGGCTGTCTCTTGTTAAAAAGCCATGGACTTGGGCCTTCAATTAAATGATTTCAGTTGTTCCCTGAAAATCTTATTGTTTTTTCTTTTATTTCTTACTTGAAGCATCTTCGAGGAGTATCAGTCTTTGGACATCATATGTTTCGAATTTATGCTGTAAGTACCTTGAATTAAGTTCCTCGTTTGATTTTGTTCTTGGAAGTACCTTGAAATAGTCAGGACTCTTCAGCAAGGCTCCAGATTTATTTTGAAGAAAAACTAAAGTTATGCACACCCTGATTGACATTTCTTGATTATCTCTGATTTTCCATGTAATTAAGTGTAGGAGATAAATAAGTTAAGAGGAAAGGAGAGAATACAGAAAAAAAGTATACAATTTTGTACTTCATTATTATTTTTCAACTGAATAACTGAAGTTTTCTTTAATTAAATGAAGATATACTAACAAATTGTGTTGAATTTTTTTTTAATATATTTGCAGGTTCCCTTGAGTGTTACAATGACTTGGATATATGCGTCATTTTTAACAGCTGGGGGAGCATATAACTACAAGGGATGCAATCCCAAAATCCCAAGTTCAAACATTCTGACTGATGCATGCAGAAGGCATGCTTATACCATGAAGCATTGCAGGACTGATATATCCAATGCATTATCAACTTCTGCGTGGCTCAGAATTCCTTACCCTTTACAGTGGGGTTTCCCTATTTTCCATTTTAGGACTTGCATTATCATGACCATAGTGTCGCTGGTTGCCACTGTGGATTCAGTAAGTACACTATTTAAATGCTTTAATATGCAAAATATCATATGCTTGGTATTATGAATCCCACACATTGTGTGGAATAGGAAGCTCAATGTGGTAGTTATGTCATGAGACTTTCTAACTTAAATGACTAGGTTTTTGAGGGCTGAGCTCTCCTCACATATTTAAGACATAATAATTGGTAATTTTATTGAGAATTGGACTGTGGAGACGAACCATCTATAGACTCAATTAAGGTGCTATAGGGAAAAGGATTACTGCTCAATGTATTGGATTTTCCTTACTTGCTTATTGACACGTAAGATTGAAATCCCCGAGGGAGAATGGACTAAAGGTCAATGCAGAACTTAAGTCATTAAATTGAACTTATGTATTCAAGTCATAACACTTAGACAGAGAAATTCAAAAGGAGGAAGTAAAACTAGTAAAGAGTCTACAGATATTTTTCCTTGGATTCATTAAAGTGGCACTCACCAAATACAATGAAAGAAAGAGAGAACTATCCTACAATCCTCACCTATGAAGAGTTTGTGGGAAAACTCCAGTACCTTCTGGTCGTTGAACTTAGACTAAAATGCATGTTAAAGCACATTTGTAAAAGGGTGGTTATCATCAAGGTCTCAAAACACCTTTTTAAACCGTAAAATGAATTTTCATGTGAAAGCAAGGAACAAACATGATCTGGAGAAGAAACTTATGTTGTAACTAAGTGAATGGAACATTTGATCCTTTTCCAGGTTGGAACTTATCATACTGCATCTCTGCGAGTCAATTTGAGGCCTCCAACTCCAGGAGTTGTGAGCAGAGGAATTGCATTGGAGGGTTTGTGCAGTACATTGGCTGGTCTTTGGGGTTCGGGTACTGGATCAACAACCTTGACAGAAAATGTTCATACAATTGACACAACAAAAGTGGCAAGTCGTAGGGTGGTGGAACTTGGAGCAGCTTTCATGATTCTGTTTTCCCTTATGGGTAAAGCAACAAAACTTAATGACATAAAATCATAATCTGATGTCAAAATTATTAAACAATTGTGAGTGCATGTTTGGATTCCCGTTAAAATGCTCTAGAATGACATTTGTTTTGTTTTATTGTTATTCTGTAGAAAATTTTGATGTTCAGTTTTTTAATTTTTTTTCAACTAAAATTTTTACTTTCAAACTCACATTTGAATAAACCGTGGCTTTTGTATTGAGTTAAATTTATACTGAATTTTACTATAAAATTACTATTGAACAAAACTTTCCAAACATAAATTATGTCACTTTAAACTCACCTTTAAGCAAATAAATTCATTCAAACTTAAGTTTGCAAATGCTTACCCTAATCCACTCAGTTTCATTCTTCTTTGTGCTGTTAGTTAGCGGAGATGGATGTTAATATAAGTATGTTAATTTTTGTGCATTTGAATTAGTTAGAAGAATATGACTATATTAGATTTATATGTATACCTCATCTGAAAGAAGTTGAGATATTTTCTGCACACATGTCAAACTGTTGGCTCGTTTAATTCATGAAATAAAATGCCAGTAGGTGCCACTAATTGATGCCTTTTTATATTGCAGGAAAAGTAGGTGCTCTTCTTGCTTCCATTCCACAGGCCTTGGCTGCTTCTGTATTGTGTTTCATGTGGGCTCTTATGGCAGCATTAGGCCTGTCCACCATACAGTATGGTCAATCAGGAAGCTTTAGGAACATGACAATAGTTGGCGTTTCATTATTCCTTGGTCTATCCATCCCTGCCTACTTTCAACAATACCAACCTCAAACCACTCTGATACTTCCCCCTTATCTTGTACCTTATGCAGCTGCATCTAGTGGACCATTCCATTCTGGCATTAAACAAGTAAGCACTTCTCTGTGCAAACACCCCTTGCCTCCTATATATGAATACACCAATCACGTTTGATTAATTCACAAGCTTTTAACATCTTTGCTGATTTCTCCTAAGTAAAGCTAATGTACAACCGGTTAAATTATTCTGCTAGTCCTTGAATTATTTTAAAATTTTTAAATAAGTTCCTATACTTCTAAAAATCATTTTTAATTGAGTTCTAAGTTTTCATTAAGTATAAGAACTTAATTAAATTCTTTAAAATAATCCAAAGACCATTTGTATTGTTCAATTATTTAATAAGTCTCCGAATTATTTAAAAATTTCTTAAACAATAAGAATCTAAGTTGAATTTTTGAAAACTTTTCATAAATAATGAGGGGTTAATTTAACCTACAAGATGCTCATCATCCAAAAGAAATCTACAACTGAGTACAATTTTTATGGTGAAGATGAGCTAACCCATCACTTTGATTGTCCCAAATGTTTTAGCTTGATTTTGCTATGAATGGTCTTATGTCCTTAAACATGGTGGTTACAATGTTGGTGGCATTCATACTGGACAACACAGTCCCAGGAAGTCAACAAGAACGAGGGGTGTATATATGGTCCCGAGCTGAAGACATTGCAACTGATCCTTCACTGCCATTAGCATATTCTTTGCCGAGGAAAATTGCTAGGTGTTTCTGCTGGGCAAAATGTTTGGGTGTCTAAATACTAGACTACCTCTGATTTCTTGTATTCATGGGCCTAAGGTAACATTCATTGCTGATCCATGAAGCTTAGAAGATATTGCAGCTCATGAAGAATAAAAATAAATATAACTGGATATAGTTACATCTACACAAACAGGGAATAGCTTAGTACTGATTATGCTTGTGAATTATACAACTGCTTTCACATAGGTGAATTTGTGACCTCAAAACAGAGCATAAAAGTAGTTGTCGTACGTGTACATTCATAATTCTTTTAATCAATTAATGGTTCAATTTTTGTAGTTTCGGTTTGATATTTTGGTTGCAATAAGTCATAGACAGTGAAAAAGACCACCAAATATGTGTTTGTAACCTTTACGCTCTGTTTGGATGCATTGAAAAGAAAAGGAAAAAATAGTAAAAAAGAATTATAGTTATTTTATTTAATCAAATGATATTATATTTTAATATTTTAAATTTTATGTAATAAATTATACTGAGAAAATATAAGAAGAATATTAATATTATTTTATAGAATTATATTTATCTTAAAGATACAGTTATCTATTCAAGAAAATAGTCTCTTTCTCTTTTTTTCATTTCAGTTTCTTTACAACCAAAGAAATGGAAAAAAGAAATATTCTTTTTTTTTTTTCATATTTCTCGTGTGTCAAACAATTTTAAATCTGTTCATTTTTTTCATCAATTTTTTTATTTAATTTTTTCTCCATGCTTTGTTTAGTTTCAGAAAGAAAATGAAAAATAAATAAATAAAAAATAATACATTTAATAGCTGTTTGATATGAAAAAAATAATAATGATACATTGTTTTATTAAAATAAAAGATAATAGGATAAAGCTCTTCCACTCCCCACATCAATTTCTCTTTCTCCCAGTTCTCTCCCTTCCTATGCTTTTTTTTTTCTTTTCTTTCCTTTTATTTGTTTTGAGTTACTTATATGAGATTTTGAGAAAAAAAATTAAATATATTTATTTTTAATTTACATAAATAATTTTTAGTACTAAGAAAAAAGAAGTGTTGTTCATTATAAAAAAAATATCTATAAATTCTTAAGGTACATCTTCTGTTTAAGAGCCTATAAAAATTACTTCTTTGCATGTTTTATTTGTAAAAAAAAAGAGTATGTTTTTAAATTTTGAATATAGATTTATATTTAAATAATTTTATGAAGTTTTGTTGGATGTTGATGAGATCTAAATTCATTAGTCACAAACTCTCACAATTTTTAAAAGTAATTTAGTGAATTTTTTATTATTGTGAGTGGATAATTATCATAATTATTATTTTAATTATTTTTATATTATTATTATCTAAAAAAATAAGTTTTAATTTATTTTTTTATCATATAAAAGCTTATTTCAATATGAATTTTGTTTAATAACATATATTTATTTCTAGAGTGTGAAATGAGTAATTATTTTAATTTTTTTATGATATTTAATTATGAGACATATGAATTGAAGTTTTTACTATTAAAAATAAATTTGGTTTATATTAAAGAGTGATTTTCTATAAAATATATATTTTTAAGAAAATATCTATGTTAAAGTTTTGAAACAGTTAGTGAAAATAACAATCTAATTTATTTTACAATTTTAAATAATTTTAATTTATATTTGTATTTAGTTTAAATTTTAAATAATAAATAAAGTTAATTTAAAAGAATATTTATCGATCGAAAGAAAGGAAATACTCTTTGTTAGATGTCTTTTTTGTGTTAATATGTTCCAAAATCTAATATGATGTATGAGGTCAAAATGTATGATAAATTCATATTTTATGTGGATTTTATAGAATTTTTTTGAAAAATGGAAGTGATTAAGATAGAAAATGCATAAAATAAATTGAACTAGCTAAATTTTGTATAATAGCTTGTTTAAAGAAGAAAATAAAAAGTATTGGCATTTCAGAATTTGTGATCTTTTTGTGTCTTCAAATTCAGAATTAATGAAAAGTAATGAAAAGAGGTCATGGTGCAAAAGAATGTTGTGAAATTAAGGAGCATGTTTTTTATACCAAGTGTTGGGACAATAAATTCTCGATGTTTCTACTCGGTCATGCTAAATTCCTTAATGATTGGTAGGGTTAGGACGCTTAGATTGCAATGTCCTAACATCTAAGTACATGTGACGTTGTAGAATATTTGTGAAATACCAAAGTTGGAATATTAGACTTCCAATTAGAGCTGTCAAAATGGCAGCCCGGTTCAGCCCAATACGGGTAGCAGGTTCAAACGAGTCAGGCTTAATTAGTCAAAGGTAAAAAATGGGCTTATATTTTTTATTGCCCAAGCCTTACTCTATGCTGGCTACGGGCTTATGCGGGTTGACCCGACAATTCAAATAGTTTTTTTTCTTTTTTTTATTTTTGTAACATGTCATTTTTTTACTGTTTTTATAACAACAAATCATTGTTTTATTGCTATATTTAATGTTTGTAACATACCATGTTAAGCTATTTTTACAAGAACTTAATAGACCACTCGTTTTTTATGTCCAATTTTTGTATTAAACTATTTATTTATTTATTTTAAGTTGTAAAAAGTCACTGGTTTCTTTTTTTTTATTGTTTTTGTAGCGATGCAAAAGTATATAATTTAGACTTGTAATTTTAGGGTTTTAAAACTAAAATATATTCCCTTTCAAACTCCTTAAAACTCAGGGTTTAATCTCAATATATATATACAGGTTGCCCGAACCCGTATGGGCTAACTCGGTTAAAGCCCTATCGAGTACCGGGCTTATTCAGACCGGGCCAAAATGGTCCAAGGTAATTGCGGGCTTTATTTTTTAGAGCTCAAACCCGCCCATTTAATGGGTCTTTTGGGCCCAATCCATCGGACCAACCCATTTTGCTGGCTCTACTTCCAATGTTACTACAGAACCAAGTCTATAAATAATAGAGATATATTTTCAGATTTTTTCTTTTTTATTGTTTTATATTTAGATTCAATTTTCTTTCTTAGCTTTTCTTTTAGTTGGAGTTGGATATACTTTGCGAACAATATCAAAGTTCTAATGAAGTAATTTTTTTTAGTAGATAATTATCTAAATTTTAGTTTTTTTTTCCTTATCCTATTTTGTTGACTTTTTTAAAATTACGATATGATTAAATATTGAATCAAATTTTATGTAATCTTCTATTTCACTCTATCTTTATTTAAATACATTGTTTACTTCTTCAATTAATGTTTCATTGACTTTGTCATTCAAATGTATGAACTAAGAGCATTTTTTATAATTGAAAAATTGGTTAAATATTCAAATATGAAGAAAACAACTCAATCTTTTAATTACTTATGAATAGAAGTTAGAATATTATGTAATTGTTGTTATTGATTGAATCTATCCAAGAAATTAGGATTCTTTTTTTATTAAGAATTAGAAGAAGCAACTAAAAAATTGAATTTTACTAATCTCATCATTAGATCATTCATTTGAATTATAAGATTGAAGTTGAAGATGTAAAGCCCCAAATTTTGGTAATATTAATTATTATTATTATTCTTATATATATATATATATATATTCATATGTGTGTTGATTTATTTGAAAATGATGTTTTATGTGTATTTAACTACATGGATGTGTGTATATGTGTATGTATGACTGGTTGGGCTAAAATTGGTTAAGTGTCTAAGTGCAGGGCATGATACTAGATGTCTCGCTGTAGCGACAGAGCGATAGTTTGAGCTGTATTTCTGGGTGCAGTCTCGCTGTATCGAGAAGGTCTCGTTGTAGCAAGATTTTGCAGAAATTAGAGTGCAATTTTCTCTAGTTTTTTCGCTATAGTAAGAGGGCGTGTCGCTGCAGCTAGGGGAGAATATCTCGCTGCAGCGAAAGTGTCACGACCAAAAAAGGATTTAAAGGGAGTTAGGGTTCGGAGAGAGTTATTTCTCTCTCTCCCTTCGATCGTCTCCTTCCTCAAAGCCCTATTCCACCGATTAATTGCCTCCAAAGCTGTTCAGAAGCTTAATTGAAGGTTAAATTTGTGTGGGGAACGCTTGGAGGATGAAATCCGTGAGGGGAAGCATTTCTTGGTGGATTTAGCATGTGGGTCTTCAATCCAAGGTAAGGGGGGACTTCATCCTACTCTTTTGTGCATGAATTATTGATATTTTGCTGAATATTGTGTTGTGGTTGAGTTATTGGGTAGGAAATTGCTGAAAAATGTAATGTGGGCCATGTGTCGTGATATGTGAATATTATGTGTGTGATCTGAAATTGATGGATTTGGATTATATGTAAATGTTGTGTGATAGAATGAGTATGGGCACTTGTGTCGTATATTTGAATGAATATTGTGAAAATGTGGGCCAAGGGCCGTGTAATATGAACGATAATTGTAGGCTGCGTGTCTTGTGCTGTGAATTGAATATAGGCTGTGTGCCCTGTGTAAGCATGATTATTGCATACGTGAATGAAATATGTATGAATGGGCGTGTTAGCACCATTGTAATGTGTTGTGAATGGTTCAACAATACACTGGGGATGTGGCAGATGAGGACAGTAGAAATATCTTGGGGAAGAGGGAGTAGTGGTGACACCGACTGCGGAACGGGTGCACCACGGGCCACACACTCTCTTCCTGACTAGACCTCTGACCACTATCTTTGCTGAGCGACCCATGATTGCCTACGTGGTATCCGTGAGGTGGGGGTAACCGGCGACCATTCATGGTGAAAATTTGTGATCACAATGCCATATTGAGTGTGGCTGGCATGCATATGCATGGGTTTATGACTTGTACTTATAGATGTGAAATGCTACTTGTGCTTGTGTTTATTTAATGTGTTGGAAATATTCTGGAGGTGAGACTCTACGTTGATAGTGTGTTTTGGGTAGTGTAGAGTACTCACCCTTACATTCATTTTTCAGGTAATCAAGACGATCAGCACCAGACCTAGTGAAGGGATGGATGAACTGCTATAGGACTTAGTTTTTATTTTAAAATTTGTTGTAACTAAACTAGTCTTGTAGCAGTCATTTGATATTAATTTGTAACCCTTCCCTTATTTTGAAGTATTTTATAAAAAATTGTTATTTGAATTTGTGATATTTTGATTAAATTGAAATTAAATTTAAGGCATTACAATTATGGTATCAGAGCAGTTCATCCAAACCGGATTGGGGTATTGGGCTGAAGCGTCCAAGATAAGTGTTGATTGTTTTGTTTTCCTGAATTATAAATGTATTATTGATTTGATGTGTTGGACTATGACTGTTAAATTGTGTAGCTTAGAATATGTCTGGTAGAGGTAGTGGTAGAGGAGCTAGAGGCACCAATGACCTCATGGAACACATGGCTCAGATTCTAGAAGCCATGGTGCATAATCAAGGTGGAGAGCCGGCTCCAAAGTTTGAGGGTGGATTCAATCTTGAAAGAGCCCAAAGGTGGGTGGCTGATGTGGAGAAGATCTTCAATGCAATGGGATGTCGTGAGAAGAACAAGGTTGCCTATGCCACCTACTTGCTGTGTGGTGAGGTTGAGGACTGGTAGAGGTTTGCCGGTCAGACCCTGCCACAAGAAGATGGCTATGTTCAGTGGGAAGCATTCAAAACCATCTTCCTAGGGAACTACTTTCCCCGGGACCTAAGGAAGCAAAAAGCTAGGGAGTTCCTTGAACTGAAGCAAGGAAGTATGATTGTAGGAGAGTATGCAGCTAAGTTCCAAGAGCTGATGAAGTACTGGCCTCATTATCAGCATAGTGATGGAGTGGAGGATCTGTGTGCTCAGTTTGAGCATGGATTAAGGTCAGACATTCGGGTTACAGTCAGTGTCTTTCAACTGACGGACTTGCCCACTCTGGTGAGCAAGAGCAGAATCTTTGAAGCTAACTCAAGAGGGAAGACGGTGGACACTAAGGGAGCCGGCCCAGTGAGGCAAGATAGAAGACCCCCTAGGTTCTCAAGGAGACCGTATTCGGGTTCAAATAGCTCTCAGTCTCGAGGGAGTTCATCTTAGGAGAAGAGCAGTGGGAGTGATTCAGGATCAAGTTCTTTCAGAGGACCGCTCAAGTGCTTTAGGTGTGGAGGGCCACACATGGTGAAGGACTGCCCACAGTCGAGGATAACTTGCAGCAACTATGGGAAGTCAGGGCACGTTGCCAATGAGTGCTGGGCCACTAAAAGAAGCGGTAGTGCAAGTGCATCCCAAAGGCCGGAATCAAGAGGAAGTACAGGGCCAAGTATGGGGCAGAAGCTGAGCATTCTTGGTAGAGTTTTTGCTATGAGTAGAGCAGAGGCTTCACAGTCAGAGGAGTTGATCTGAGGTAAATGCATTATTAAGGGTCGATTACTTGATGTGCTGTTTGATTCGGGTGCTACGCACTCTTTTATATCTGTGGATTGTATAAAGAGTCTGGGCTTGTATGTGACTGAATTGCCATGTAATGTTGTGGTGACTACCCCTACGGGTAAGCCAATTGTGACATCATGGATGTGTCTGGGGTGTGCAATAATGGTACATGGTAAAGAGTTTGAGGTGGACTTAATTTGTTTACCTCTTTCTAAACTGGATGTTATTATGGAATGGATTGGCTTGCTGCCAACCATGTGCTGCTGGACTGTAGGGAGAAGACTTTGATCTTCGGTGCAACAATGACGGAGGTTCCAAGGCTTATGAGCCAGGGAGCGTGGGAGAACACGGTAAACGCCAAGGCTTTCATGGTTATGTTCTTAATGGAAACTGAAAGTGTAGTGGAGCTGGAGTATATTCCAGTGGTCAAAGATTTCTTGGAAGTGTTTCTTAAAGATATTTCTGAGCTACCGCCTAAGAGGGAGATAGAGTTTGCTATTGACCTCATTCTGGGAGTAAGCCCAATTTCTGTGGCGCCTTACAGGATGTCACCAGTGGAGTTGGCAGAGGTCAAGAAGCAAGTAGAAGACCTATTGCAAAAATAGTTTGTGAGACCGAGTGTGTCAGAGAGCACCAGTGCTCTTGGTGAAGAAGAAGGATGGAAGCATGAGGATGTGTGTAGATTACCGGCAGTTGAATAAGGTGACGGTCAAGAACAAGTATCTGCTTCCAAGGATCGACAATTTGATGGATCAGCTGAGGGGAGCAGCAGTGTTTTCGAAGATCAATTTGAGATTGGGATACCATCAAATCTGAGTGAAAGATGCAGATGTGCCTAAGATGGCGTTCAGGACGCGGTATGGTCACTATGAGTATTTGGTGATGCTGTTTGGGGTGACCAACGCGTCTGCGGTGTTCATGGACTACATGAACAAGATCTTCCACAAGTTTCTGGATAAGTTTGTGGTGGTGTTCATCGATGACATCCTAATTTATTCAAAGACTCAAGAAGAGCATGCTGAGCACTTGAGGATTGTCCTACAAATTCTGAGGGAGAGACAGTTGTATGCGAAATTCTCCAAGTGTGAGTTCTGGTTGTCGGAGATCCAATTTCTGGGACATGTAGTATCGAAGGAAGGAATCATGGTAGACCCTGCAAAAGTGGAAGCAGTGGCTTAGTGGCCAAGGCCGACGAATGTGACAGAGGTGTGCAGTTTCCTCGAATTGGTAGGCTATTACAGGAAGTTCATTGAGGAGTTCTCCAAGACAGCATTGCCCTTAACGAAGCTAACTCGCAAGGGAAAAGAGTTCAAGTGGACCAAGGGGTGTGAAGCTAGTTTCTTGGAGCTGAAGATAAGGTTGACTTCAGCGTCAGTGTTGGCTCTACCTGACCACCCGTAGCGAAAGTTTAATGTGTGTTGCGATGCATCTGGATAAGGACTTGGTTGTGTCTTGATGCAAGACGGGTGAGTGGTTGCCTATGTCTCAAGACAGTTATGCCCGCATGAAGTCAACTATCAGACACACGATCTGGAGTTGGCCGCAGTGGTGTTTGCTCTTAAGGTATGGAGGCATTACCTATATGGGGCGAGGTTTGAAGTGTTCAGTGACCACAAAAGCTTGAAGTATCTATTTGATCAAAAGGAGCTGAATATGCGGCAGAGGAGATGAATGAAATTTCTCAAGGACTACGACTTCACATTGTCTTACCACCCTGGCAAGGAAAATGTGGTAGCCAATGCTTTGAGCCGGAAATCATTGCATGTGGCAGCAATGATGGTGAAAGAGATGGAGTTGATTGAAGAATTTCGGGACATGTATTTGGCCATGGAGGTGAGGCCAGGGAGTTTATATCTCGGAGCAATGACGATTCACAACGACTTCCTGGTGTACGTCCAAGCTGCTCAGTAGGGAGATGCTTTCCTGCAAGACATGATGAGACAGAAGGATGAGGGAAAGGACTTGGATTTCCACCGTGATGAGAACGGAGTGATTAAGTTCCGGAACCGAGTGTGCATTCCTCAAGTGGATGCGCTGAGACAAATGGTGCTTGAGGAAGCGCATAAGAGCAGAATGAGTTTTTACCCCAGTGCAACAAAAATGTATCAGAATCTTTGGAAGAGTTTTTGGTGGAATGGAATGAAGAGGGACGTGGCTGAATATGTGGCTAGATGCCTAACTTGTCAGAAGGCGAAGGTAGAGCACCAGCGTCCACCTAGGTTGTTACATTCGTTGAAGATCCTTGAGTGGAAATGGGATAATATTTCCATGGACTTTGTTTCTAGGCTGCCCAAGACTAGGAACAACCATGATGCCATCTGGGTGATAGTGGATCGGTTGCCCACGGCTGCACACTTTCTTCCGATCAACATGAAGTATAAATTGGAGTGACTTGCGGAGTTGTATGTTCGGGAGATAGTCAGGCTGCATAGAGTGTAACATCTTGTACTTTGATTTAAATAAAATGAGGTTTGTTAAAGTATAATTCGAATAGATTTGGATAGAATTTATATTTTTTAAAAAAATGTGAATAGTAAAACCGCCTATGAACAGTGTCGATGAACAGTAAAATTATCTATGAACAGTACAAATCGTGTATGAACAATGAAATTGCCTATGTACAATGACCAATGACATCATCAGTGACATCATCATGATGTCATGGCTATATCTCACCATTTTCTCTCATACTAAACCCTCATAAACTTAGATTTCTCTTCAGATCTATGATTCTACGTCTGTTTAAAAGGATTTCAAGTAAATTTCTTTAAGTTTCAAGTTAGATTTACCGTTCGTTTTTCTTCTTCTTCTTCTTCTTATAGATGTTTATGATGTTCTTAGGAAAAACTCCATTCTAGAGTTAAAATCTTTGGTTAAATCTTTGTAAAAGCTCTGTTTTGAGGTAAGAGGGGCTCTACTTTATCATTTTGTTATGTTTATTACTTGTATTCTCATAGATCTTGTCATGTATGTGATTATATGTGGAATAATCCTTGTTTTATGAGAAATAATCGGTGAAAAGTGAGAATAATTGGCTGTTTATGTGATTTTATGATGAATACATGGTGAAAATGTGATATTATGTTCAAATAGGGCATGATAAGGTATATTGAGGATGATTGATATGATTTTATGATATGAAATATACAAAGAGATGGATGTTTCATGTTTGAATATATTGTGTTTCATATAAAAATGATATGTATTGTGAATATGTCATGGTTTGAGGTATATGATGAAAAGTATGTGGAAATATGACAAAAAATATGTGTGAACATGAGAAATAGCATATGTGAACATGTGAATATACTTGAAAGAGTATGAGATGGAAAAAGGATATGAGGTAAATAATTACAGAGATACACTGGGGGAGTGGAAGATGAAGACGATATGGTATGTGTTAGGGAAATGAAGGGTGGTGGGTGACATTCGAGATTGTGCACGGAATATTGTGTTCAAATGCACCACATGGCCACACACTCGTTTCTCAACTTGACTCCTGACCATTACCTTTGCTAAGGGGCTGTCTATTGCATGCGTTGTATCCGTATTGCATTGGGCCATCCAGTGACTATTTACATGGATGTGTAAGACCTCGGGATAGAGGCATCAGATAATTGTGGCCACAGGGCGCGGTAAGCACGGATAAAAGTAAAAGAAATTGTGAATATGTGGAATATAATATGTGTTGAGATAAGAACATGCTTTATATGACACTATGATATGTAATGCCATGATGTTTTCTTTAATCGTGATAAGATGTGTTTTATGGTGAATATGTGTTATGTATGAGTGGTAGGGTAGAGACTCACCCTTACACAACATTTTCAGGAAACTAGGACGAATAGTACCAGACTCACAGTGCATGGATGGATGAGAACTGCTATAGGACTTAGTTATTTTGAGCTATGTAATGGATATTTTTAGTTCTATAGCATTCTTTTGAAATAGTTGTAAAACTACTATTTCTTTTTGTTGTTGATGAAAATTTTAGGATCTTTGTTTTCTAAAGTACTTATGAATCAATGAAACTTTACTCTATGAATCTTATATCATTTCATTGTTTTTTTTTTTTTTTAGAGAGTTTTTGAAAGAAAATTTATTTTACCATTTAAATTTTTATAAAAATTTATCATATATTGATGAAAGAAATATAAGGTGTTACATGGAGTGCCGACTAGTGTGGTGTCAGATAGAGATCCGAGGTTTACCTCGAGGTTTTGGGAGAGCCTGCAACGGGCATTAGGGACTAAGTTGAGACTGAGCTCGGCTTATCACCCATAGACTGACAGTCAGACTGAGCGAACCATCCAATCCCTGGAGGACTTGTTGAGGGCTTGTGTGCTTGAGCAACAGGGAACTTGGGAAGAGTGCTTGCCGTTAGTGGAATTCACGTACAACAATAGTTATCATGCTAGTATTGGAATGACACTGTTTGAGGCTTTGTATAGGCGGAGGTGCAGGACCCCATTGTGTTGGTATGAAACCGGAGAGGTGACTTTGTGTGCGCCAGATATGATCCAAGGGCAAAATGAGAAGATCAGAACGATCAAAGAGAAGATAAAGGCTACCCAAGATCGACAAAAGAGTTACTATGATAAGAGGAGGAAACCGTTGGAGTTCCAAGTGGGGGACCATGTGTTTCTGAAGGTCTCGCCTATGACCAGAGTTGGGAGGGCTCTAAAATCTTGGAAGCTATCTCCTAAGTTTATTGGACCATTCGAAGTGCTGAGTAGAATTGGTCCGGCTGCGTATCGGATCGCGTTGCCTCCGAATCTCTCAAATCTACATCTGGTGTTCCATGTGTCGCAGCTTAGGAAATATGTGCCAGATGCTTCCCATGTGATAGATCTTGACCCAGTTCAAGTGAGAGGGGACTTGTCGTATGATGTGTACTCGGTGAGGATTGCTGACCACTGTGTTAAACAGTAGAGGGGTAAAGAGATATCGTTGGTGAAGGTGATATGGAACTCGAGTGATGAGGGAGATGCCACATGGGAGACAGAGAGTAGAATGAGAGAGTTGTACCCGAGGTTGTTTTTGTAGTTTTGGTGTGTGTTGGATTGAATTTCAGGGACAAAATTCCTTAAAGGTGGAGAGAGTTGTAACGCCCCAAATTTTGGTAATATTAATAATAATAATAATAATAATAATAATTATTATTATTATTATTATTATTATTATTATATATTCATATGTGTGTTGATTTATTTGAAAATAATGTTTTATGTGTATTAACTACATGGATGTGTGTATATATGTGTATGTATGACTGGTTGGGCTGAAATAAGCTAAGTGCCTAAGTGCAGGGCGTGATACTGGGTTGTTCTCGCTGTACCGAAACGATTCTCGTTATAGCAAGAGGGCCCTATGAGGAAGGACCAGAACTGTCGCCTTCTCACTGTAGCGACAGTTTGAGGTGCATTTCTGGGTGCAGTCTCACTGTAGCGAGAGGGTCTCGCTGTAGCAAGATTCTGCAGAAATTATAGTGCAATTTTCTCTAGTTTTTTCGCTGTAGCAAGAGGGCGTGTCGCTGCAACTAGGGGAGAATATCTCGTTGTAGCGAGAGTGTCGCGACCAAAAAAGAATTTAAAGGGGGTTAGGGTTCGGGGAGAATTATTTTTCCCTCTCCTTTCGATCCTCTCCTTCCCCAAAGCCCTATTCCACCGATTAATTGCCTCCAAAGTCGTTCGGGAGCTTGATTGAAGGTTAAATCCGTGTAGGGATTGCTTGGAGGACGAAATCTATGAGGGGAAGCATTTCTTGGTGGATTTAGCGTGTGGGTCTTCAATCCAAGGTAAGAGGGGGGCTCTATCCTACTTTTCTGTGCATGAATTGTTGATATTTTGCTGAATATTGTGTTGTGACTGAGTTAGTGGGTAAGAAATTGCTGAGAAATGTAATGTGGGCCATGTGCCGTGATATGTGAACATTATGTGTGTGATCTGAAATTGATGGATTTGGATTATATGTAAATGTTGTGTGATAGAATGAGTATGGGCACTTGTGTCGTATATTTGAATGAATATTGTGAAAATGTGGGCCAAGGGCCATGTAATATGAACGATAATTGTAGGCTGCGTGCCGTGTGCTGTGAATTGAATATAGGTTGTGTGCCATGTGTAAGCATGACTATTGCATGCGTGAATGAAATATGTGTGAATGGGCGTGTTAGCGCCGTTGTAATGTGTTGTAAATGGTTCAGTGATACACTGGGGATGTGGGAGATGAAGACGGTAGAAATACCTTGGGGAAGAGGAAGTGGTGGTGACACCGACTGCGGAATAGGTGGTGTCACCACAGGCCGCACACTTTCTTCCTGACTAGACCTCTGACCACTATCTTTACTGAGCGACCCGTGACTGTCCACGTGGTATCCGTGAGGTGGGGGTAACTGGCGACCATTCATAGTGAAAATCTGTGATCACAATGCCATATTGAGTGTGGCTGGCATGCATATGCATGGGTTTATGAATTGTACTTATAGATGTGAAATGCTGCTTGTGATTGTGTTTGTTTAATGTGTTGGAAATGTTCTGGAGGTGAGACTCTACGTTGATAGTGTATTTTGGATAGTGTAGAGTACTCATCCTTACATTCATTTTTTAGGTAATCAAGACGATCAACACCGGATTCAGTGAAGGGATAGATGAACTGCTATAGGACTTAGTTTTTATTTTAAAATTTGTTGTAACTAAACTAGTCTTGTAGCAGTCATTTGATATTAATTTGTAACTCTTCCCTTATTTTGAAGTATTTTATGAAAATTTGTTATTTGAATTTGTGAAATTCTGATTAAATTGAAATTAAATTTAAGGCGTTCCAGAAGATATTATATTATGTATAAGGTGAGATTGAAGATGCTTTTGATTCCTAACCATTTTATCCTTTAGAAACTTAATTTCATTGTGTTACATTTTATTTGTGAAAAAAATATCATATTTAATATTTATTGATTAGCTTTTTGCATTATTTTGATTTAATTTTTGCTTTATTTCATGAATTTTGAAAAATAATTTTTTTAAATTTATTCATCTATCAATTTTTATATATGCCGTTGAAAATTGATCCTAATCCTTGAGGATGATGTACTTTATCAATTGTCGCAATACATTACACTTGTTTTTCCTCTAACAATGAACAAAGTCCAAACGTGAGCATAGTTTTACATTGAAACTTTAGTTGATCTCATGCTTTGCCAGTCCTCAATTAGGGAACGAAGGGTATGATTAGGGGTAAGTAATCTGTGCTTCAGCCTTAGCTTTTTGGGTGATATGTCATGCCCTGATCGCAACCACTCTTCCATTGCTTCTAGCTCATAAGAAAACCCATCTGCTGCCACATGTGGATTTTTCATTATCTTCTGCGGTGAACGACACAAAATATACACCGTAAGGTCCGTCCAAAATTTGATTGCGATGTCTTTATAAAAAAAAATGTTAACACCAGTTCTAAGAATTTATTTTAAATTAAAATTAATCAATTTTGTTAAAAAATATTTGTACGTAAAAATTATGAAGTATAATAAAAATTTCCTTTTTAAAAGAAAAACTTATAAATTTGGATGCTGAAAATCTGTTTTAAGAGCCGATTTCAACAAAACAGTGTTAAAAAAAAAAAAGCTTCACATCCAATTTTATTTCCTAACAAAGTTGTTAGAGAATAAATAAAAAAATAGGATACCAACCTGAAGGATAGGGCAAATAAAAATACTAGGCACATCACTGGAGTATTGTCCATTTAGATTCCCATGAATGATAACCCTCCCTCCTACCTTAGCAACCATGTCATCACCCTTTCTTCTGATCAGATTGAGTTCCTCCTTGACTCTTGCAATGCTCATTTCTCCATTGGGCCCACAGTTCATGAACATGCACCTCATTGTTAAGCCCACCATTTCTCTAGCTACATCCAATGGCCAATGTTCACCAATCTCATCATAAAAAACCTTTGTATCCATTGCTACCAAATTTCTTCTTCCAGTCAATAGATTTTGCAACACAACTCCTATTGCCTCCATATCTGACTTGACTTTGCATTCATCACTGCACCCATAAAGCCCAAACCCTGTGATCTTTGCAACATGATTGCAGTCTAGGAGAATTTTGGAAGGGGAAGGATGACAATGAATAATGGGCCTAGACTGAGCTGAATTTAGAAAGAGGAGCCCAGAACACACTTCTATGGCTATCCTTATGCAATCACGCCAGCTTAAGGCCCGGCCTCTTTTACAAAATAACATTTCTTCCAAGCTTCCATTTTGCATGTATTCTAAAACTATGCATTTGGGCTCAGAGCAGAAGCCCACAGTGGCAACCAGATGAGGTTGCCGAATACTACCAAGGGACCTCACCTAAATACAGTTGAATTCAAGTTCATTAAAAGTTGATAACAACACTTTATTTAAAGTATACTCGAAGATGAAACAAAATACAACATTAAAACCACTTTATGCTTCATTTCTTAAATTGTACTCTTCAATAAAACTAATAAACAATACGATATATTGCACATCATATGCATTTGTCTCTACTAACTAATTTCTGTTAAGCATGCGACAAATCATACCCTTGCATTCAGACTTGACCATGCCAAATTATATAATCTTCAACCTAGAGTTTTATGGTTTTGTGGTAAGGAGGCTTTTCTTTTTCATCTTAACACAAGTATCTTTTAAAGTTTAAGTAAAAACATTCACAATATAATAATGTTAACTCCTTTGATAAAGATATTTTCTATATATAAATATTGAGAAAGAAGTTTCTTATACTAATGTAAATCTAAAAAATTTTACATTCAATTTGAACATTTTATTTAATTTACATCTAATAATCAGTCAAGTAATAAATATATTAATTGACTAATTATTAAATGTAAGTTAAATAAAAGACTCAGATCGAGTATAAGAGTTTTTAGACTTATATTAATGTGAGAAGATCTTGCTTCATATATATATATATATATATATACACATAATTTTATCATAAGAAGAAGAAAAAAAAACATATAACAATAAAGAGTTTGATTTCTTTCAAGTTATATACATGTTTTCCAAATGAAAAAAATCAATAGTAGAAAAATTTTCATTTTTTCAAATGTGTTTATTCAAATTGATTTAAATTAATTAGGCTATAATACAACTCTGACTACATGGATATAAGATTCAAAAATATATTATGTAATTCAAATCAAATAAATTTTTTTTCAGAACGTTTAATTTCTTGTAATTGTGAAATAAAAAAAAAAGTTCTAAAACTTATTAACTTTTTTTTAATAAAATCAATTTTCATGCTTTCACAAGCATATCATAACCACGCAATTACATGCCGTTGGTAAATTAAATAATGAAATTAAATTTTATAATTCGGTACAATTTTAAGAGAATGCATTCACTGTACAAACAATTTAAATATACTATTCTTTGAGTTTAGTTTTCATCCACGATTATTCTTCTTCTTTTACACTTAGTACTATAGTAACAAGTAAAAATTGTATTATTGGTTGTTTACCTTGGCTTGGAAATCTGGTTGGGACAGGGCAGAATCAGAATTGAGTATCTTGATTGCAACAGTGGAATGGTTCATTTGTGCTCTATAGACATTGGTCGAATTCCCACAAGGTTTCAACCTCAAATGCTCTGAAAAATTATGGGTGGCCAAGGTCATCTCTTCCTTGGTGTACTCTCTGAAATTACAACTCTTCTCCGTTAGCCTAACACTCATTCTTGTGGCATCTTTTTCTTTGAAAAACTTAATCCTTCTATTCAGCACATCCCTTTGTCTCCTTAGATCATTTATCTCCATAAGCATCTCTGTCCTTTCAGCCAATATTTTCCCTACTATGGTTTCAGCTTCTGACACTGCCAGTGTGCAATTATGAAGCCTGTTTTGGAGCACTGATTGCTCCTCAACCACTGCACTAAGCTGTTTTTTGCTCTCTTCAACATCCATTCTAATTTCATCAAGTTGTTCTTTTTCTGCATCCAGTTCCTTCTCTAGTTCTTCCCTTCTTGTCACTTCTTCCTTTCTTAGAGATTCCAGTTCTTCCTGCAAAAAGGATGATTGTGACAACAATTTGGGTGAAAACTGTTAAAATGGTCTACAGCAGTCCAAAAGGAAAAAGACATCTATCAATGGAGTAAAGGTACTTGTGTTCGAGTTTGGTAAATTTAATTTCTTACTCTTAAAATAATTCAAATTAATTACACTTGCATTTTTGTTTGGAAAGTGTGCTATATGAGAAATTTATTCTTATGATTTTTCTTACCCGATTAGTATTGCAAACGATAAGAAATGAATAAACAATAAAATTTCATTAAAAATTATAATATTTAATAATATCAATAAATTAAACTTTATAATTTTTAATAAAAACTTATCATACAAAAAAAAATTATTTTATACAATATTGTGCATATTAAAAAAATTAGTCTTTTCAATTATATTATTATTCTTGAATTTACTTCAAAATAGCATTGTTGTAACAAATCTGCTGGAGAGAAAAAGCTCAATTGCTTATGAATTTTATTACCCGACGGTTACATAAATAAATAGCCCATTCAGCCTTTTCATGTCTCTCCATATTTGTCACGTCTTCTTTCCTCTTCATTTGGATGGTTTTGTAAGCTTCATTCAGTTTCTCTCTGAGGATCTCAATATTTTCTGCTGCACTCTGGTGTTGGTATCCAAATTGAACAATAATGTTGATAAGTCTACAATGTGACATATAATGTAAACAAAGGAAAAAAGAAACAAAAAACGAAAAAAACCAAACTAAGCCCAAGAAAGTATATAAATACTATCATTAATAAGGGTCATATAATTTGGAAATGATATCTAACAAAGTTTTAGCTACCTTATTATTAGAATTGTTACATTCTTTGGCATATGGCTCTATTGGACTAATCATGGGGGAGACCTCGTTGTCTTGGACATAACTTCCTTCTTCTGAATTTAAAGACATTAATTCTTGTAAATAATTTTCAACTTCTTGGAAAGAAAATTCCCATTGGTTTTGGTTAAGATGGGGCTCCAAATTTGTAGAGAAAGTAAATGATTCACTAGAACCTGTATGTTGGGAATCAACGGTTTTATCAATGAACATTCTCTCTAACCAATCCTTAAAATTTATCTTCTCTCTCATTTTGGCAACCTTGACCCCATCAACATCCTCCATCATTATCTCATCATTCTTCATACGAGGTGAAACATGTTTCCCTTCACAAATAATGAACAACTCACAGAATGCAGGTTTGTGCTGATGAACGTAGAACATTCCGTTAATGTCAACTTTCGATTTCCTAAAAGAGAAGGAAAGGAAAGGAAAATGTAAGAAAAGTCATCCAAGTTAGTATAAATGGATTGTACTTTATATCTTGTGTAAACTAATAAAAATAATAGGAGTTAAACTAAATAAATAGGATTAATAAAATATATATAAATATTAAATAAAATATAATTCAAAATTTGATCTCTCTCTCACTCTCTCTTGAAAACCTAAAGTTACAAAGCAGGAGACCAAATACACGGTCACTCTTAAGTTGGATAAGTTATTTGTATGCCATAATGATAAATAGGAACTTACGAAGGATTTGCCAACATAAACAAAAACAAATGTCTCATTGCTCTTAATTATATTATTGAAATTGAAGGAGGAGATGAAAAATCGAGATTTGAAAATGTTAATAAAATTGCTTGCATTTCCACCAAGATAAGAATAGGAAAGAAGGCTTTCCAACCAGACTAGGATTATTGGAATGGTGGAGAAACAGAGAATAATTATTCTGACATATTCACTTAGGATACTTCAAAAAATGAATGTTTTCGTATTAAAAAGAATCCTAAGAAGTATTTAAAGAAAACAATGATATAGTAACTATCAAAATAGGTTAAGCTATTCGACAAAGATTTACTGTCTAACTTTTTTAAGGTTTAACCCGGTTTGACCTATTCAAGTAATAGACTTAATTAATTAAATAAGTTAGGTAGAAAAAGTTTACTATGTTTATTAAAATGACCTATTTAAAATTTATAATAATATAATAAATAAAATTTTAAATAAATAAAATATTAAATCATAAAACCTAATTTTTTTTGTTGGAGTTGAAGAGTGTTCATATCACATATCTTCTAAGAGAAAGAGTTTTAACTCGTTGGAGTCTTTTGCGTTACTGTCATTTGTTCTATGCATAACGTTGATTTGCAATTGTGTTATTTCGATTATGTATTTTAATGAAATAGAAATATATAATTTTATTATACATATTCAAGGTGTTAAACTATTTTTTTTATAACTTATTTAGATATAAGCCTTGTGGTCTTTATAAAGATATATCTGTTTAGATAGTTTAATAGCCTATTTATAAAAATGCTTAATGACCTATTGAAGGTCTCAATACGAAGTAGGCTAAAAAGACTAATATGCTAAAGCAGGCTTTTAAAAAGGCTAGACTAGGCTTAATAAAAAGCCTATGACAGATAATAAGTCAGACTTAGACTTCAAAATTGTTAAATAAACCAAGCTTATTTATGCAAAGCCTGCTGATGTAACATGTTTTAGGTTTATATTTATAGTTTTATTTTGATTAATAAACACTTTTCATATGACTTATTTTTAGAGTTTTTATCATTTTCTAGTTTTTTGAATAAATTGGTCATGTTACAAATAAATACATTGATTTTGTATTTTCAGTTATTTTGACCTTTGACTACTCTTTTAACCATAACTTTGTCTACAAATATTTTTTTGGCTGATTTTAGTTGCATTGGATTCTATACATCCAGGACTTCAAAATGCATATATGGATCGCTGGATTTGGAGTTATTTTTTTATTTTTTATATTTTTTGAAGTTGAGGTAGATTTGCTAAATATTGTTACAGGATTGCATTTAGACCCTTGTTATTTAATAATTTTATTTGAGCTTTTAGACATTATTGAGGCTCAAATTTTGGCCACTTAGTTTACCCTAATCAGAACTTATAAATAGATTAATAGTTCTAAATTAGAGGAGATATTAGACACTTTCAACTTTTGAGATTTGGCCGAAATAAGAATCCTTATTTTTACTTTTTCTTGAATTCTCTTGTTCTCTTCTCATTCTTGTGTGGGTTAAGTGCTTCGATGGAAGGTTAAACCACCCGTTTAATCTGCGGAATCTAAATGCTATAATTTTGATTTGAGTTCTGAGTCGAATTGCTCTAAGTTTGTTCTTTCTCCCTAACCTCAAATTTGTATATTGTTATTGTGATTAACTTTTCTGTTGTTAGAATTCAAATTAGGATTCGATTGATATTCTAATTTGATAATTAATTCGGGTTAGGTTATGATAATTTGATTTAATCTATGATCTAGTTTAATTAGGTTATTCGATTGAATTAATAATTGAATTGGGTAAACGTTCAAACTCAGATTAAGATCTTTAGATACTGTGTTAATCGGGTTATATGCATTTGGTACTATGTAGATTGATATTTCTTCATTTGTTTTCTCCCAAATTTATTTTGTTCGTAATTTAATTTAGTATTTTGTAAATTTTAAAACCTCCAAAACCTTACTTTTATTCTTTTAGAAAAACCTAAAATTGAATTTAACTAAAGATATGTCTATGTGAATCAACCTAAGTTGAGCTCTATATTGCAAAATTCTTAGCGAAACTTAGTTATTTTGATAGTGACTCGACATCGTCTATCAAATTGATGCCGTTGTCAGGGATACGTTGTCAGTTTTAATTTATTTTAAGAATTGTTGCGTTTTTCGTGTTTGTTAATTTTGCATAATTTGATTTTTCATTATTTTAATTCTTAGGCTTTTGTTCATTTTGTTTTTTTTTTTGTTCTTGTTTGCGATTTGATATTTTTCCTCTTTTTACATTAGTTCATTTGTTTAAGTGTATTTAATTTTTATCATTAATAAGGTTAAATGATAATAATAATAATAATAATAATAATAAGATTTTGTTCCACTATTTACTGAATTTTGCAAATTATTTGTCATATGTTTTTCTATGCGTTTCTTTCATTCTGAAAATTCTGCTATTTCAAAGTTCTGAATTTTGATTTTGAATTTTAGATTTTAAATTTTGTATTTTTGGAGAATTGGATTAACAGAATTGCTATAGAATTGTGTGACTTGTAGGGATTTCGCAGAGATTTTACGTAGATTTTGCACAGATTTGAGGAGCAGTGAATAAAGATTCCTCAGATTTAGTTTAGATTAGATTATATATATATATATATATATATATATATATTTGAACTTTAAATTATACTTAAGATATGATTAGTTTTTTTAGATAGATTAGTTTTGAATTTAAAATTAAAAAAAATTATCTAACTAATTTGCTAATTTAAATTTAAATTTCAAATTTTTTTATTAAAATTTTTTTTGAAAAAAAATTAATAAATATTTCTAAAAAATAATAAATTAAATTAAAATAATTTTAATTTTTATTATTTTCTTTTCTTTTTATCACACTTCCTTTTGTAATTTATTTGGTTAATTTTTATTTTTTTTCTTTGCACATTTTCATTATGTAATTTGTATAAGGTTTGTTTGTTTCCTCACGTACCACTAATCATGCATAATATGAGTGAGGTCCTATACTCAGGTTTGAGTAAACTTTAGATTTAGAGGAGTTGTGTAGTTATAGTAATTTGAATGTATGTCATGTTTGTCTATCACGAGAACTTTAGCTAAAGTTTATCTTATCTATATAAGTCCCTACATCTAGTAGCTACCTATTGATTGAGGATGACTTTATGGAATAGATTTTGACTCTAATGATCTTTTATCGTTAGGCTTACAAACTACCCAAGGTGAGAATGCATGTCATAGATTATTAGGTTAGAACTTTAGGAACCTTGATAGAACACTACTGGAGCATAAATTCTATTATTACGCTACAATTTTATTTCTACATTATTTTATGGATTGTGAAAATTATTAATCTTATTCATCTTCATTTTATTTTATTCATTTTATGCATGGTGCTACTCAAAATCTCAAATTTTATTGTTTAGAACACTTTTCTAATTTTTTTATTTTTTTATTTTTGATATCTTAAAAAATCACAAAAAATTTAAAAAACTCTTAAAAATAGAAAATAAGGTATTCAGGTTGACTTTGACTTCTTCTTTTTTCGTCCCTTTGTGCATGACTAGAACTAATCCTAGGCAATTGCATGCATTTGATCCTGAAATAGAAAGAATTTGGAGTAGATTAAACAGATTGAAAGGTAGTGTGTATAGTTGGTCTCATACTCCCATCCTTCCTTTTCATTAAAAGCACTAGTGCTTCTCATGGTGATACACTTGGTCTCACAAACTGCTTCTGTAACAAGTCCTTTACTTGCTTCTTGACCTTTGTTAGTTCCACCGGTGACATCCTATATGGTGCCACAAAAATCGGGCTTGCTCCCGGAATGAGGTCAATAGCGAACATTCTAAGACATCTTTAGGAAAAACTTCCAAAAAGTCCCTTACCATCGGGATGTACTTTGATTCCACTCCACTTTCAACCTCTAGTGAGAACATAACCATAAAGGCGTTAGCATTTACCGTGTTCTCCCATGCACCTTGACTCAAAAGTCTAGGAATTCCCAAAGTCGTCGCACCAAAAATCAACGTCTTCTTTTTACAGTCCAGCAGCATATGGTTGGCGGCTTGCCAATTCATTCCCAAAATCATGTCCAATTAGGAGAGAGGCAAATAGATTAAGTCTACCTTAAAGTCCCTCCCATGCACCATTATCAAACACCCCAAACATACCTAAGAAGTTACGACCGGTTTACCCATAGACTTAGTCGTCACAACATTGCACAGTAATTCAGTCATATGTAAATCGTAACACCCTTAATTTCCTACATTGACTTCTTTAAAAATTTGAATTGCTAGTCTAGGTCAACATACATCTTTAAAAATATAATTGATTTTATTTTATGTTATTATTATTATTATTTTATTTTGCCTGAAATGCTAGGAATTGTTTTTCAAAATTTAGAAAACTATTTTCCTTTGTCATCTTTCTTCTTGTAGCATTAATTTTAGTATTCACTTTGTATATGTGCACTTGAGCACATTGTGCAGATAGATTTACCTTGAGAGGCTTTATTACCATAGGTGTAAAATAGATTTTGTTGATTATTGTATTATTACCTTTCAGAATAATTCCTGACGAAAAATATACTTAGGCATTCTACGCAAGGTATCGATTGAATTAATTACTTTCAATACCTTGCAATAAAGTATGAGAAGGAAACTCACCTCTCACTTATTACTAGGACATTAAAAATAAAAATATTCATACGGCCATGCTCTTAGGCAGTGCATGCAGTATTAAGTTCACTTTAGTTTTGATAATTCATGGTTTAAAACCAAATGAGTGTATGTATTTGTGAGTGGAAACAAAATTTCTGATCTCACATCTGATTAGATATAACACCTATTTATTTCCTCTACGAGACTCTTATGTTTCTTGAATTTTATTTAGTAAAATTATAGGCATAATTTCCAATTGAATTACCTATCTATATCCTCAACAATCATGTAAAAAGGAATATGTTCAGGTTAAATTTTTGGGGCATCCTTTCAATTTACTCAATGAAGGCCTGCATAAGGGAAACTTCTATTTAAAACCAGTGCAGAATGATAATGATGTGAAAGAGAAATAGAACCTTGTCCACTTCTCCACAATACCAAGACAAGGATAATGTAGCCGTACTCCCAGCCTTCTTTCAATTTCTTTCCAAACTTCATGTTGCATGAGAAAGGGCATATTGGCCTTGTATTTAAACTACACGTGTTACCCCCTTCTTCTATCATAATCTTTGGAGAGGCTCATGACAACGAAGATTAAATTGTTGAATGACATTGTAATTGTTATTAATTTGGGGAAGTTATTGTACAATCTTTAGACACCCTTCATTATCAACTTCCACCTTAGATAATGCATGAGGAAGGTGCAGGTCGTCTCACCATTAACCTGCACGTGTATCTCCTTACTAAACACTCACTACTCTAAAGATTTAATGGTTGGACTCACATGCTCTTATGCTTATAAATCAATGGGACAGGTTGCCTAAAGGAATGCACTGAACACAAAGATTGCATTCCTTCCACCCACAAAACTTCTTCCATCCATCTTGCTAGATTACCGCCACTAGAGAAGTAGAATGCTTTTTTTCACATCCGATCCCATAATTAAGAGAATACTTATGAAGTGGACATATTATCCTTCCGTTATCATAACCCAGAGTTACCTAACACCCCATTACAAATAAAGCAAAGAGAAACTAGCCTCTTGCTCTCTATGCTTACTCAAACATCACAATCACTTCCCCCTCCACTCTTTCCTCTTTGCATGAGCATCGCATACCAAAAAGAGAATACCAGAACTATACTGAGGTGATCATTTTTCTGCATCCTTATCCCTGTACTATCAAAATCAAGCCACCATCCAACATATTCTACCTTTCTTCAGCTGAGTTACATAATTAATAAAATCATCTTTCCAACAACATATCTTAAGCTCAAATCTGACATCGTTTGCCCCCTCATATCTTAAGCCACTCTCACTGCTCCTCTCTTGAGATGAAGTCTCTCTGGACTGAGAATGGCTGGAGCTCAAATACGGCTCCTTTGAGAACCTAGGGGGTCTTCTATCCTGCCTCATTGGACTACTCCCTCTAGTGTCCACTGTCTTGCCCTTCGAATTGGCTTAAAAAATTCTACACTTGCTCACTAGAATAGGCAAGTCAGTTAGTTGGAACACGCTGACAGCAACACGGATCTGTGGCCTCAGCCCGTGCTCAAATTGACCATACAAATCTTCCTTTCCATCCTCATGTTGATAGTGAGGCCAGTATTTCATCAGCTATTGAAACTTTACAGCATATTCCCGCACTGTCATGCTTCCTTGCTTCAAATCAAGAAATTCTCGAGCTTTCTGCTTCTTCAAATCCCGGGGAAAGTAGTTCCCTAGGAAGCTTGCCTTGAACACCTCTCATTGAATGTAGCCACCCTCTTTATGGCAAAGTCTGACTGACAAACCTTCACCAGTCTTCTGCCTCCCCATATATCATGTAGGTGGTGTAGGTCACCTTGTTCTTTTCCCTACACCCCATTGCATGGAAGATTTTCTCCATATCTGCTACCAATCTCTGGGCTTCTTCAAGGTCAAACTTCCTTTCAAACTTTGGAGAGTTGTGCCTAGTGAAGGCAGACAACCCTCTATACTTAGCTGGCTCTCCATCTTGGTTATGCACCAAGGCCTCTAGAACTTGGGTCATTCGCTTTAGGAGGTCATTGGTGATTCCAGCTCTTCTACCTCTACCGGCCATTTCTAATCTAATCTAGCAAATAATTCAACAAACCACATTCAATAAGTCAAATCAATAACATTTATAACTCAGGTAAACAAAACACATTAACACACAACTTGGACACTTCAACCCCAATACTCCAGTCCAGTTTGGATGAATTGTTTTAATACCAAAATTGTAACACCTTAATTTAATTGTTCAAGTAAATATTTTCGCAATAAAATGGAAATAATAAAAATAAATAGTTCCCAGTACACAGTTTCATTAAAGTATTTTAAAATAAGGATGAATTACAAATTTGAATCAATTATTGCTACAGGACATAATTAATACATTTTAGTTTCAACAATAAATATTCTAAGCTCTATAGTAGTTTCATCCATCCCTTCACTGAGTCTGACACTGATCGTCTTAGTCACCTAAAAAATAAATGTAAGGTTGAGTACTCTACACTATCACACATAAGCACAGAGACTCACCTTGCACGTTTCACACATTTACTAATATAATTCATAACATGCATCAAACAAACACAAGTAATACGTTCGACATTCAATTCCAATTCACATACAAGTGCGCTCACTGCACCATCAAACGATCCATACACACGTGCACTCACTGCACGTAGCCACGCTCACTGTAGTACTGTGATCACAGATTCATGATGCCCTCAATCCCAGGGACTTACTCAATTTCACACCATAGATGGTCGCCGAATATCCCCCGCTCCACGGATACAACATGTGAGGTACTGGTCCCTCCAAACAAAGGTGTTACTTAGAGGCTAAGTCAGGAGGATAGTGTGTGGCCTGTGGTGCACCCACGCTCACTGCTGGTGTCACCACCACCCTCTCTTCCCTAAGGTATTCCTACTGCCCCATCTTCTACACCCTAGTGTATCGTTGAACCATTCATAGTTTTCAATCAATTCAAACTCAATCACACTCAGCATGCCATTCATACACATTTTCACCAATTTCATATTATTCAACATCAATCAATGGCATGTCCACACATTTTCATCCACATTGTAACCAACTATTTCATCACAATCATCACATTTTATCAGACATCATGCTCCATATCAATCACATTGCATTCTACACCAAGATTTCCATTACAATAAAATTACAATTATGTCATTCTAGTCATACTCATCATCCATATTTATCCAATGTTTACCACACTACAAATAACATGAAAGTTTCATCAAGCACACCAATTTTCTACGTTCTTTTCAATCAAAACTCCACAAATAACAGTATATATAAAATTTTAACCCAAAGAGATAGGGTAGAGTCCCCTTTACCTCAGATTGAAGTCCTACAACACAAATCGAAAATGGAAATGTCCCCCACACAGATTTCATCATAAATACATGTAAGAATTTCGTGAGAAACCAAAGAGAACTTAGAAAACAAAGAAGATGGACGAAAACTGAAACCCTAGCCATCAAAACTTACCTCTAAATGCTCCAAACATGATTCCAACCTTTAATCTAGCTCATAAATGACTTTGGAGACAATTTAATCGATAAAATAGGATTGAGAGTTAAGAGAATCGAAGAGAGTTCGAAGAGAGGAATGGGAAATGAATTCCCTGAACCCTAAACTGTTCAAATAGCCTCTGAGTCGCAACAATCTCACTACAACGAGACATCTCTCACTATAACGAGACCCCTTCTTGCTGCAGCGAAAACCTCAGACGATTCTGCACTCTGGTTTCTGCAGAATCTCGCTATAGCGAGACTGAATTCCAGAAATGCACTCCCTTTGTTGCCTTCTCGCTACAACGAGAGCGCAACATAGCCACGCCCTCTGCCCAGGGCCTTCTCGCTACAGCGAGAATGCCTGCAGCACACTCCAACCTATATTTTCCAATCAGTTCAGCCCATCCATAAGTCAAACATTCTCAATACAGAATCAACATTCACACTCATGCTCCTACACACATATTAATATACATCCACGTCATTATACACATATACAATTATATTCACATCATCATATACATCAAATACACATTCAAATAGCAACTCACATATTCATATTAATAATCAAAATAATTTACAAAGCTCGGGGCGTTACATAGTGCGATTTATCATGACCCGATTATTTGTTTGTTTATTTTTATTTTTCTTTTTCTTTTTCTTTTTGTGCTTGTTGACTTTGTTTGGTTTAATCATTTGTAAATATTTTGATAACCCTAGGATAGATGCTTATTTTGAACGTTTGTAATCATAGGATAGTGATAGTGAACTTTTAAGTTTCAAAATAATTGTTCACCCTACGAGAAAGGACCACACTTGGAAATTTATTTGTTTTATAGGTTGAAATTTTTAGGTTTAGGGTATAAAATGTTTGTATGTCCTTATCACACACTATACTTTTCATTCATTATTTGCATGAGAGCGGCTCTATTCCCGAGCTTGAGTTGTTACCTAGGTTAGAGGGGCTATTAGCGGTGCAAGCTTGGATGTACTTGTTGTCTGGCCCCATGAAAAAAACCCTAGTTAAAGTGTGGCTCTAGCGTCCCGTGCTTGGTAATTACTTATTGTCATGGTAAACGGTAAAGTTGAGTTATGAGCTCTAGTGGCCTTTCTAGGGGTAGAAACTTTCCTTAGTAAGACAAACATGCTAGAATTTAACCGAGATCCTTAGGGTAGAACCTCATAAGCACCTCCATTAGGACATGAGAATGTACTTTCTATACTATTTTCCTTGTTTATCCTTTATCATGCAAACTATTAGCTTTTTAAGATTTAAAAAAAAAAATATTTTGAGCAAAAGGATAGCTATATGCGCGACTTTGCATAACTTAGTTATTGATACTTTGAACATCAATTAATTTGAAAAAATAATATCTTTAAAGAATCAATAAAACATTTCCTTAATGGATCATTAGTCTTTAAGCAATTATTCAATTTAAAAAAAAAAACTTTGCTTTAAAGACCTATGACCTACTAGGTTCGTTCCATAAAAAAATAAAATATAGAATTTCGTGAATTATTTACCCTTTAATGAAGCTTTGCCAAGGTAAAAGGCCAATAATTTATGAAATTCATTTTCCTTTTCCCTATTCATATGACTAACAATGGCTTCTCTTATTCCTTAAAGTGCAAATTGGTCTCAAATAAGGTCTTAATAAATGAAGAATAAAATAATGCTCTCATTCTAAAAAATTATTTTTCTTTCCTTTACTTAAGAAAATCAAGAGTCACTATAATCCTTAGTCATCCCTACAATACGTGTATGAAGGTCAGGCTCATGGCAAACCTTGAGAACATCAACTGAGGCTTTGGCTAACCTGAAAGTCGAATAGGAGAAACATGCCAAAGAAGGTCCCACCATACTCTTGGTCCCACATGATTTTGCTCGAATCCAACAAGTTTTCACCCCTAGTCCCATCAGGTTCCACTCCTACTAATATGACACAAATAGAGTACACTTGGCCATCTTTTGGCCTCCCTCTTGATTACACACCACCTCAGGCTAATCCTGCAACTAATCCTAATGCCATCCCTATCGATCCTGCCTATCCCACTAACCCACAACAATCGAACACCTAGGAACTTTACACCTCCCAAATTCCACCAATCCAAACAACCATAGCCCCGCAAACTCATACCACCCTTATTCCCCAACTTGTTACCATTTCACTCACAACCCCAGGAAATCGCCAAGGGACTCAACCTATACCTATTCAGCATCCCTATATGGATAATCCATCATCCCAAGATAAATTGTGCATTTTGGCGGAAAGGATGAGAGCAATCGAGGGTGGCGAATATGACATTGGAGAAGCTGCTGATCTCTGCTTAGTTCCAAATGTGGTGATCCCACCTAAATTCAAGGTACCAAAATTTGAAAAATACAAAGGTATTACATGCTCGAAGAACCATTTGACAATGTACTGTAAGAAGATGGCTTCTTATATTCACAATGAAAAACTACTTATTCATTGTTTCCAAGACAATCTCACTTGGGCAGCAGCTGGTTCGTATCACATCTAGGGCGAGCTCACATTCGCTAATGGAAGGACCTAGCTGACTCCTTCCTTAAGCAATATAAATATAATATAGATTTGGCACCCAATAGGATGTAGCTGCAAAACATGTCAATGAAGGGAGCTGAAACTTTCAAAGAGTGTGTAGAGATGGAGAGAGGTGGCTTCACAAGTACAACCCTCATTATCTGAGAAAGAGATGGTGTCGACATTCGTTAATTCTTTACAAGCTCTTTTTTATGACAAGGTGATTAGCAGTGTGTCTGCCAATTTTTCAGATGTGGTCAAGATAGGAGAGCAGGTGGAGGCAGGAGTACAAAGTGGGAAGATCGCCTCTAGTGATGCTAGCGTCGTGCTTGGCACCAAGAAAGACCCTTTAGAGGTAAGAGAAAAGAAAGACACACTAACTAAGTGGTCTCCCACCAAAGTCAATAGCCTGTGTACCCATACCATTTCAACCAAGTACCTCATCGCTACACAACAAACACCTTACATACTTATTCCACCCAACCATACAAACTACTTCTGGCCTAAATAGTAGCCCCACCTATTACAAACCCACAATTCCAACAAGCATAAACTTAAAATCCAATTTTTAACTTGAACTAGAAAAAGCCAGAAAGAAAAAGGGGGGACTTCAACCTAATCCTTATAACATACACAGACCTGTTGCAACATCTCATTAAAGGGTCCTTAGCAGTGCCCATTCTACCACAAATAATTCAGCCTCCTTACCCAAAGTGGTATGATGCAAATGAAAAATGTAGTTGTAACACTCCAAATTTTGTGATAATATTTTGATTATTAATATAAGCAAGTGTATTATTATTTGGATGTGCATTTTGATTTATGATTAATGGTGTGAATAAGTACAGGTGTATGTGTATATATGTATATTGTAATTTAAATGCGAATGTTGACCTGTGGTTGGGCTAGATTGGTTGGAAATATAGGCTGAGGTTGTGTTGCAGGGGCATTCTCATTGTAGCGAGAAGGCCTTGGGCAAACTCGGG